TTTTGCCACCATCGTGTTCCTCTCGTCGAGACGCGTCGAATGAACTATAATTTGACCTTGAAAGGTCAACTTGAAAATTTGACCTCAGGTCAAGGTCATGACCTGACCGGAAAAGGTCATGTTGCATATCAGTCGATCCGCAACGTCGAGCCGAACACATCTAAGGCGTTTTCAGCGCTCTAGCACGTCTCTATCAGAAGTTATTAGCGAAAAACTGTTAGATTCTGTTCGTGACCTGAGATGACCTCGGGGACATAACGAGGGGTCACAGTTGCCATTTTCCGGTTCAGTGTGTCCATTTTACCTACATCTCGATGTTTGAGAGTGTCTAGAATAGCGTTCGTGCAAAACAGACGCTTTTCAATTTTCTCCCATTGACTTATAATGGAGGGGTCGCAAAATTGACCTGACCTTAGGTCACCGATATCAAAATTCCAAGATAAACATTTTATAGATAATGTTGCTCTAATCAGTCGCTGAAAGTTTCAAGGCAATCGATCACTCGGTGTAGCTATGACGAGCATTCTTATTTTTTCTGAGGTGAGGTCACTTGGCGTGACCTGGTGACCTGACCTAAGGTGACCTTGGTCTGAAATTTTCACAACATGTGCGGAAAAGATGCACGAACAGGTGTGCCAAAAACGGCGGCGCGGAGCGCCGCCCGTTTTTGAGATATCTGCGAAAAACCGCAGGGGGGGGGGTGTTCAAACACCCCCCCCCCCGGCCCGGCGCGGGTTAAATACCACACTTCGCCAACTCAATAAGGCACACTACGGAGCGTAACGTTCTGCCGACCACACTCACCTGAATGTACAGGGCTGCAGCGGCTTTCTTGATGGCCAACTGCTCTTCAAAGATGCGCTGCTCCTCTCGCCGTTCTCGCTTCAAAATGATCGAATCATATCGATCTCTTATCGCTTCCACTTTTGCCTGCCAAATATCAGGACAGTGAGCACGTTAGCTGTGCTAATATAATGCAGTGAGCCGCATATAGTTACACTCAGATGTTTAGCTTTTTTTATTGCAGTGACTGAACATCCTTTGCTTACTTCATACAATTCGGTGTTTACAAAAGAGTCCACATATAAGGTCTCATTTCCTATAAAACGATCCTCAGTCTTACGTCATATTCTTCGCGCTCAGCGGTCTCCTTTTCAAACTCGGCCTGCAAGCCTTCGATTTCTTCAGTTTTCTCCATCATTTCGGCATCGTATTTTTGCAACCAGTTTTCCAGCTCAGACTCAATTTTGTACCTGAAATATGCATGAGAAACCAGTCAGCTGTCACTGATTGTAAGGAACGACGATGCCACTTCTTCAGTGGAAAAATAAGTACGATATCTTTAGTAGTTTTGAGAGCAATGTGCGCATAAAAACATCGAAAACATTTCAATTAAAGCCGGATAGTGGTAGATAGTAGTGGCAATAAGTATTAATCTATGACTGGAAACCTATCGGTAAAAAGGGGCGCAATGATGCACTTCAACCCTGGAACGACATTGAGCGTGTCGAGATCTAATGCAAATGAAACCAGACTTTTAATACGTGATCTCACAAGTCACAACACGCTACCCACGATACTGACGACCCGATGTTCCTATAGTACCGCTCCGCTCTCAGTCTCCCGCTACTCACTTCCGTTTTTTGAGCGCGGCCTCGGCCTTTCTGTTACTGACGCGCAGCTCCTGCAGTCCGGCCATGTTCTTTTCGTAGATGACCTTGAGTCGCTCACGTTCCATCTGGTAGGCCGCACGCGCTGCTGTGATGTCTCCCTCGGCCTCAGCGCTGCAGTATATGAACATGGTTACGAATAAACAAGATACATCTATATAGATCCACAGGGGGACATACAAGCTCACCAATAAGCCCGCGTACAGACGTGTCAACGAACTAGTCAGGCAGATTATAAATGTGACAGATAGTCAGTTATTGATTCCAGAAAAAGGATGTAAAATCCAGAAACCTAATAACGGGTGTGCACTTAGTTTCCGGAAAAAGTTTGTGCTGCCATACCTAACTTTAGTGTTTGAACTTAGATTAAGATGATATTTGGCACATATATAAATTGTAACAATAGTTAAGAGTTGTCAAAAGAATTAGGCGCTCTCTCCTCCCAGGCGGTCTACAGCCCACGTGCTATACAGACGCCCCCTGTTGAAATTGCGCGGCACCTCCGGGTCCAGGTGTGGCGATGGCTAGCGGGTTATGGACTTCAAATAGGCGCTAATATGCACTTAACATCTTCCTTAGTACTACATTGTCCTCATAAGTCCCCATTCGGTCGCCGTTGAGATATGCCAAGAAGATTATCTTCGCGGCTCACAAACGGTACATGTGCGCCGTCCCGTAGATCCAGCGCTCCGCGCGCACAGTGACTGCATTGTGGTGTGATCATGACACCTATACTTTCCTCGGGTAGTGATGTTCCCAATGTGACAAAATTTATTTATTTAAGCACTGCTGTCAAAAGATATCAACGTATGCATTGGCTACATAGGGCTAACATAATGATTGGATACCGCACGTGGGGATATGGCGGTCCACTGACCAGGAGATTGCGTCGAAAGTGGTCAGCAGGCTAAGGTTCCACATTTTGTGAGCGCCTGCTTCTGGAGGTGGTGTTTTACCCCATCTTCATTACACAAAATTTCCCTTTTAGGCGATCTAATTCCAGCATCCACAGGTGATTGCTTGATTCGTCTGTGCACTCAGCATTTATCGTGATAACTTACAGATCCATGTCTCATTGCTCCTCTGCTGCTTTTATCGGCTGCCGAGTGCTGGATCATGGTATCTCTACCCTTTTTGGTATACAATATCACAATTTAAAATTTTTCTTACAAGCATGGAAAACGGGAGGACGGGAAGCGTATCGGGAACACTCACAAGATGGTGAATACCTTTTACCAGAACGAGCCTCTTCTGCTGGGGCACTTTCGCCACGAATAAACACACCTGCACACTGTGCATGTGCCACGCACTTCCCCGTGCTTGTGCCGTTCCTCTAATGGCACAAGCTCTCTTTCTAGCAATACCCAGAAAGCGCCAGTGGGAAGAGAAGTTGTTTCTCTGGAATTTTTGTTAATTTTGTGAAAATTCCGCCACTCTTTTCCGCGTTCATGACTTAGTTGTAAGCACCTTTCTGTATGAAAAAATTGTCGGTTTGGTCTGCATTTTGGCATGCTCATTCCCAAATGAGTAATTATTAACTATACGAAAGTTTGTATTGATAGCTTTAATAGTTTTAAAGATACGGATGATCAATCTTTTTCCAGAAACTAAGTGCACACCCGTTATTCTCTCCATCCGCCTTTATCCCCCACCGCTTTTTACATCCTCTCTCCAATCTCCCCTCACGCTCCAACTCACATGACGTTGGCGACGTCCTCAGTGGACTTGCGCTCGACGCCGGCGATGTTGCCCTCCAGTTTGTCGATGACGGCGTTCTTGATTCGCCGGTCGTCATCGCGCTGCTGCAGCAGGCCGTCCAGCCGGGTCTGCAGCATGTCCAGCAACTGCCGGTTGTGGTTGTCGCGCCGCCAGATCTCTCTCAGACGCTCGGTGCGACTGGCCTCCTGGTCGGGCGTGGTCACCAGGCGCAGGTACATCTGGACGGACGGGTCAAGGGGCGGGACTGGTACTTTCGAGCGAACGAAGGAGACCGCGAAAACAGCCTGCAAGTAAGCCCAACGTAACCCTCGTATTTCCAATCGCCAGAAATGACTGGCCAGTCACCGAGCACGCACCCCGAAGCGTGCCATTGAATCCATCCACCCACCTGGCGGCGGAGAAAGGCCATCTGCCGGAGGAACTGCTGGGCCGGCGGTGAGGCGGGGCCGGCCAGCGGCCCGTCCAGGCCGGCGGAGGCGGCGTGGTGTCGCCACTGGCGCACCAGCCGCCGGCTGGCCGCCGCCAGCTGTTCGATGGTGTCGGCCAGGGCGGCCACACAGCGCGGGTCGGCGCCCGGCGTGCCCAGCAGGCCGTTACTGGGCGCCAGCGGCACGGCCGTCTCGGTCGGCTCGGCGGCCGCCGTATCCGTCACGTCGAACGTCTCCAGGCTGTGGCTGGAGCTGGGCGGCGGCACGCTGGCGCGCAGCCGCTCGGCGTCCTCGTGGAACTGCTGGCGTAGCTGCAGGTAGACGGCGGCCGCGTGCGCCAGCGGCTCGGCCACGTGGTGGCCGCACTCATCCACCAGCTGCGCCCAGACCAGCGGCAGCCGCAGCACCGTGCGCAGCTTCACCAGCAGCTCGTCCAGCGCGTTCAGGATCCGCTCCGACTCGATGCACGGCAGCGAGACCTCGTTGGTGGTCTCGTTGTCACCAGAGCCGCGCTGCTCGCATGGGCCCCTGGTGACACGGAGGACAGATCAATCAGCAGCGGCAATGAAACGCATCGTCTCAAACGTTCACTAAGTAATAGAAACTGACGAACCAAACATGCTATCTTCAAATTTGCTAATAACGGCATGAAACTTACATTTCTGTCCTATGTTCATTGGATGGTGTGGCCATCGTTGATCATTTATTTGCCGGGTGAAATGGCTATCTTCAAACTGTCTTTGCTCTGCCAGTCACGATAGCACGCAACGCATATTGTTATTGAGCGATGCCAAATTAAAAGAGATACAACTTCGATAAATCACACGAAAGGATTCAGGACGTTAGGCATTCCTATGAAAACACCCGTGGAAGGGGGCACAACCACGGTGAGACTGAAGTCGTTTACATAGAAGTGCTACTGCTTTGAGCCACGATGATCCGTGCACCGCCAAGGCCCACACGCCGCACGCGCTCACTCCGTAATACAAAATCCAACGGTCCTAGCGACCCACGCTGGCCGCGCTGGCCTCCAGTCTCACAGAATTACAAGCGTTGTTTCGTATCGATCGTTGTCATGGCAACCGATTGGGGTCTTCCCAAGGTCTTCCTAATTCCCGCGACGAACGAAAAAGCTATGCACAACACTCACAAAACAATAATAAACAACAACCATAACCCACGGCTGTTTTTACTTTTCATTTATTTATTGTTAGAGGCACAGCAACGACCAAAGTAAGGCACCATAATGTTCGTGTGCGAGGCACTAAGCGCTGTTTTAGCTCACAAGATCAGCATATTCGAATTACATTTGAGTCCTGAGTTCATAATAACAACGATTCATTGCCTAGTTGCTAACAGAGAACAGCACAAACCAGCATTTAAAAGGCAACAAATGTTATAATATATAGTTTACTGCAACTCATTTTCTACCTTCCAATGACTAGCAACAAGGTTTTGGCTTTGTTTCTACTCTTCGATACCAGTTCCCTCGAGCTTCAAGATACCAGTTTCACTATATAAAAGTGAAAAGCTACCACCTCTTTGCGACGGGAAAGACTTGCAACAATTTAGTGAGCTACAACAAGTAACAGGGCGGCAGTTCACAGCTGAAGACTAGACTCTGTTATACCCGCGGACCATGTACCACAGACGACAGATGGCAGTACGGAGCCCGGCGGCGGCACGGGCCGGGTGTCAGCGCCTGCCCGCCCGGCCGGCCGGCCGGCGCTGCTGGCGGGCCGGCGGCGCCGGCGGCGGGGCCCGGCCGCCGCCGCCGCCGCTGGCCGCCGTGGGATCGATGACGCCGACGCGCGGCGCGCCAGTGGGGAACAGCCGGCTGTAGCTGGCGTCCCGGTTGGCCAGCTCGAGGCCGATCTGCTGCTTCTCGCGGCGGAGCGCGTCCATCTGCAGTTCGGTGTGGTGGAGCGCCTCCTGCAGCCGGAGGATGGTGGCGGCGTCCTCAGGACGTTGCCGGTCGGCCGCCTCCGCTGCACTGCCGGCACACGCGCACACCGGAGTCAGAACACGAGAAACACGGGCAGAGGGATCAGGCAACGGCGCGGAATGTAGACCATAAAACGGCAACGACGACAGCTGAATACGACGTCTGCAACACAAATCGTTCAGGCATAAAGACCATAAGAAGTGAGCTCATACGACAGGACAGACAGCGGCGGGTTCAGACAGGGACACGCGTGACATTGACCCCAAGACTATCAGACCTACGCCTGATAACTTTTTTTAAAGCGTACTACGGATAGTGGCTTCAGATCGCTCAGTTTACCAATCGGTTCAATAAGGCCAGGTCAGGCCATTTACTTCAATGATGAACGTTAAACATGTGCATTGTGCCATCACCCTATCATTGTACTTTATACCAAAGTGTTTCTCCATAGCTGCACCAGGATCGTAAACTAAACATCGAACTCGTACGGTAATAAAAGAGACCATTCATATTGCAAAAAGAGCGTTATCAACCAAGTTCTCAGGAAGCAGAGAGAAGCTTCGCACGTTAAACTCTTCAGTGTGATAGAGGAGGAAGAAGGAACATAAAGCTGTCCTTACAGTCTCTCCAGGTTGGCGATCCGGTCCGCGGCGGCGCGGCCGGCGGCCTGCAGCCGCGCCAGCCGGCCGGACAGACGCTGCTGCATACTGTCCACCTGGAGCCGACACTGGGCTCGTACCGACTCCAGCTCACTGCCGCCCCAGCCAGGATAGGGAGGTTAGATACATGACTGGGAGCGGTCGGAGGTCGGGCACGAGGGGTTGTCATGCAGCGAGGGAGGAGATAAATCACCGATGGAAAGCTTCGGGGTGGCCGGTGGTGGGGACAGAAACGCGAGCATCGGGAACAGGAACGCAGTGTCGGGAACGGTGGAGGAGGGAGACCGTTTGGAAGAGAAACGGAACGATACAGGTCAACTACGGGTTAACTAGGCTAGCTGCCAACATCATTTCCACATATTTCATAGCAAGCTAGATTAATATCAGGTAACCATATGAATTAACTAAGCAGGATCAATCAGCAAAAGGTTAGAATATGGTCACACACAATCATTACAGCGCGATCTATGGAACGGCAACTAAATAGCTACTTACTCGTATCTACCACAGAAGGTGACGAGTAAACCGTATGTCAGTGAAGGCCGGACCCACCTGAGGTGCTGGCGGTCGCTCTCGGCCGCCCGCTCAGCCAGCTGCTCGTGCTCCCGTCTCAGCTCGGCCACCTCGCCGGTTAGCTGGTCGGCGCGCCCGTGCGCCGCCGCCAGCTGCCGCTGCAGCTGCTCGGCGCGGTCGGCGGCGTCCGACAGCTGCTGGCGGAGCAGCTCGGCGCGCCGGTCGGCCGCCGCCGCCCGCTCGGCCAGCTCCGAGCGGTGCTGCTCGCCGGCGGCGCTGAGCTGGTGCTGCAGCAGCGCCAGCTGCCGGTCCCGCTCCGCCAGCAGCGCTGACAGCGCGGCCCGCAGCGGCGGACGGTGCCGCAGCGCGTGCTCTGACCGCGGGGAACGGACCAGTCAGTCACACACCGTTTTGTGAAGCTATCCAGCCCCACACTGCCCGGTCCCCCTTCTCTCAGTGTCCCGCTAAAACATTCCGAACATCTACTCTCTTCATCCGGTATTTAGTCTGTAAATCTGGACCCACAGTTACTCGACTGCTTTGTGACCGATTCACGCCTTTCTTGCACTACACCCTACGTTGCCATGGCCATATTATGACACGCATAATTATTCGTGACGTTTTATCATATTTCCCACATTGACATTTTCGCTGCTACGTTGTGCCGCTCTTTGCGTTAATTTTCCGCGTCTCACTCTGAATTCAACCTGCCGATGCCGAGCCCCATTCAACACTTACCGATCCGGGATCGGGCGTCGCCGCCACCATCCTCGTCATCACTGCCGTCCGGCGATCGGCCGAGTGACGGCGTCTGTGCGGCGCTGCCGTTCCCGTTCGCATCCCCTACACCGCCGTTCACCGCCACCAGCCCTGTAGACAGGGGCAGAGGAGTGAATTATCAAACTGTGTACAGCTAGCCTCACAACTGGGTGAATAATGCGGGATACATCTGGCAAAATGAGAAAGAGCGGGCCCTTTCAGAGTCGGACGCCTGGAAGAAGAAAAAATATTCTTAGATTTACGAAGTACATAAAGTCAACTGACGGGAAGCGTCCCAAAACAATCGCGGCGGAAAGCGAGGCCCGACGTCTGACCTGTTGTTTTCTCCGTTCCGGAGGTGGCGGTGGCCGCCTGCAGCTGACGGTGCAGGTTGGCGATCACCGTCTCCGCCTCTCGCTCCCGCTCCTCCAGCTCCATCTCGTGGCGGTTCTGCTGCTCTCTCAGCTCATCAGCGGCACACTCCAGCTGAGGGCCAGGGAGAGACAGATGGTCACCAGCCGGCTAAAAGGCAAAAACAACGCTACACACGTCCATTTTCATACCTACAATGTCTTAACATCCCGATAAACATAAACTATCTATGCTGGATACGCCTAAAATAAAGACATCAATATGTTACCTGTAACAGGATCTACCTTCTACCGACGGGCACTCGACTGACCTGCCTCTGCAGCTGCCGGGCGCACTGCTCGGCCTCCTGTAGCCGCTGCTCCCGACCCAGCCGCATCGACTCGACGGCCAGGTGCTTCTCCTCCGAGTGCAGACAGTCGAGCTCGGCCTTGAGCGTGCGCCGCTCCTCTCGCAGCCGGTCCTCCCACTGGGCGTCCAGGGCGGCGCGCTCCTGTTCAGCCTGCAGCCGCAGCTGCTGCTCCAGCTGCAGTCGCAGCTGTTGCTGCTCCTGCAGAGACACAGGGCGGGTAAGTTTCGACGAGTTTTATGCCTTTTGCTTTCATAACCAAACATCTCATGTCGAAAAAAGAGCAGTGCGGAAGTCAGCATACCTTTTGTACACTGGCCACCGTGCTATTGTGTTTGTTGACCAGTTCAGTGAGCCGCCGGTTCTCCTCTGCCGTGCGCGCCTCCTGTGTTCGACACAGCTCCACCTGGCGCGTGCCCACGCGCAGCTCACGCATCAGCTCGTGAGTGAGGCCTCGCAGCTGCACCACCTCCGCCTCAAACGAACGGAGAGACTCCATCTGCGGGGAAAATGGCCATAATTACACAGACAGCTCCACTAAAAAAAAACATTGGAATAAAAATCAACAAAAATTATACGTATTCTCTTCACCTAAAGAACGTTTCCTCTAAATGTGGCATGTGACAGTGGCATTCAACTGCACAAGTGAACAGAAAAACGATGCCAAGTGAGGAAGAACTTTAGCATACTACCGTACATCGGTGGTGACGGAGTCGCCATGCCATGAACCGTCTGCCCCACATCTCGCTACCCCACTGCCGATGTCGGCAGCGTTCACCTCACCTCAGCCAGCTTCCTGTCGACGCTGGCGCTGCGCTGGTCGAGCTCCTCTCTCTGGGCCGCCAGCTCAGCCTCCACCGTGTGACGCATGTTGGCCAGGCGCTCCTGAACGAACCAGAAAACGGACGGTCAGTCGTGAAACGACACGACGTCTACATCTTCTGTCCATTATTCAACTTGGCAACAATGCATAACCACGACTGCTAACTGCTGCAAACGCTGATACTTAATACAGTAGCCAACAGCGAACTTGGCCCCGAACAGGCTTACTTGTCATTCGAAGTCAGCTAGTTAGCAACAGCGCACTGAACTCCCCATCTACCCATCCCCTGCCCGTCCCAGCCGCGGCGCTCAGACTCTCACCTCTGCCGCGCGCTGCTGCTCGTCCAGTTTGCGTTTGCAGTCTCGGCGCACCTCCCTGAGCCGGGTCTCAGCGTCGTCCATCAGCTGCTGCTCGCGCTCGGCAGTCACCGTCTGCAGGGCCTCCACCCGGCGGCGGCAGTCGGACTCGAGAGAGGCGCTCTCCTCCAGCGCCTGTGAACAAAACACGGTTATATCACTGTCGTCAAGGGCGACCCCATGACAGGGTAAGTGATCAAGCATCAAAGTCAGGCCATGTTTGAAAAAATCAGCGAAGCTTGATAGCAGTGTCAATGTAAAACGTAAACTTCAGGTGAAAATTAATGCATGGAACAATTGGTAAAACAAGAAACGACACTGTACTGAACTATAATTCTTTTCTGGTATTCTCGCATCTTCAATCAAACATTGTGACCCACTTCAGCCGAGCGGTGGTCCCAGTTTCCTGTCTTGAATACTCCACCACCCCTCAGATATCTGTCAGTTCTCACGGCCTGCATCAGTTGCGACTGCTCCTCCCGCTGCGTCTCCAACTCCTCCAGCTGCTGCCGCGCCTCCTCCAGCTCGCTCCGACACTCCTCCAGCAGGCGCTGGGTCTGCTCCAGTTCCGTCTGTAGGTCTGCTGTGGCCGACTCGGTCTCAGTCCCCGCAGGATTGGCCTCGGACGCGGCAGCGGCAGACTCGGCGGCGGCCCTGGCCTCAGCGGCGGCAGACTCGGCAGCGGCCAGATCAGACTCCAGCTGGCTGATGGTGGCTGCCAGGGAGGAGGTGCATGGTCAGGGGTGAGAGGGACAGGCCGAGCGTTAACGGAAAATAGTCAAGGACATAAAATACCGTCCGATCCCATGCTCTTCAAGTTTCAAAACTGTAGTGTGAAATAACCACTTAATAAAAGAGAATACATCACCCACACCCAGCAGATGAAATGGTGACTAATAGTAAATCATGTTACCTATTAGCATAGAAAACAAAAACAAAATAACCCTGTAACAAGCTGAACCCACCGTCCCTGGCGATGAGCAGCTGGGAGAGCTGGTCGGCGCGGCTGCGCGCGGCGGCGCCCTCGGTCTGCAGGGTCTGCAGTCGCTCAGTCAGACGCTCCGTCTCGGCGGTCTGCTGGCGCGCCTGCTGTCGGGCCGCCTCCAGCTGCGCCTGCGCGCTGTGCAGCTGCTCGCAGCGGCTCTGCAGGTGCTCCGTCAGCGTGACCAGCCGGGCGTCCTGGTCGCGCAGCCGGCCCTCCTGCAGCTCCAGCCGTCCGTCCCGGTCCCGCAGCTCGGCCACCGAGGCGGACAGTTCAGAGGTCAGCCGGTCCAGTTCCTGCTGCCGCTCCGTCAGCCGGGCGCCGAGCGCCTGCTCCCGGGAGAGCGTCTCCTCCAGCTGCCGTTGGCGTTCATCCAGCTCGGACCGCACCTGCTCCGACCGCTGCTGCTCAGACGCCAGCTCCCGCCTGGTGACCCGGAGAGAGACATGTCAGAAGTCGCATCAACCAGAGAGACCGGCCAGTGGAGACGGGTAGCAGCAGCATTATAGCGCACGTCCGAATGCCGACCTTGAATCAGCAATACACGTGGAATGAGGGAAACGCTCATAAAACAAAAGCAAACAAAGCGCATGCAAAAGACGGCCAAATAAACCGATAAAATGCTAACCATAAATTGGAATGGTTGCTGATTTATCACCATTAGACCTGAACTACCTACCATTTCCGTCAAACTGACAATGTGGTATAGCACAATCCCACAATCCACCAGTTAACTGCCCGGGCCCACACCCACCTGAGCATTGCCGCCTCCTCCGTCGTCCTCTCGCTTTCGGCAGCGGCGCGCTCGCTCTCCGCGCGCCAAGTCTGCGCCCGGTCGGCCTCCTCCCGCAGCTGACGCTCCAGTCGCAGCACGTTCTGCTGGAGGGCGTCCCTCTGCTGGCCGCTCCGGAGCAGCGCCGCCCGCTCGGCCGCCAGCTCCGTCTCCACCTCCGTCAGCCTGTCCGACTGCGAGCGCTGCACCTCCTCGGCCTCGGCCAGCGCCGCCCGCTGCGCCGCCAGCCGCCGCTCCGACTCCTCGGCGGCGGCAGACAGCTCCGCTTCGTGTCTGGGAAATACACACAAAGGCAGAGATGGGCAGTCAAACACAGACTTACGACTTTATCGTGGTAATGACAAAGAAGCCTGCAAAGTTTATAAGTGCGACAAAACACTAAATCATCGAACTATGTCCGTTCTTATCTGATATAGTACTAACACACTGAGTCTATTCAAGCACTGGACTTACTGTTGCTTGGTCCGTTTGAGCTCCTCAGCAAGGCTATTAGACAGCGCCATCTGTTCGTCCAGATGGGCCCGCAGCTGAGACATTTCAGCCGAGCGAGTCGACTCGGTGCGCATCTGTCGAGGCAAATGGGAACTTTTCAATGTGGGCCATATTATAGAGTTCAGTGATGCGAGCACACGATATAACGATATCAGCACAAGACACATCATAATCGTGGGTGGGTAACGCACAGGCTTTGAGCCTTGATCCACTTACCAGGGAGGCAGCGTTGCTGACGTGCTGCTGCACATCAGCAGTGAGCTTCCACATCTTCTTTTCGTAGTCATGCTGCATGCGAGTTTGGTAAATTTCCAGTTCGTCGTTCTTAACATTCAGATTATATATTACCTGAAAGCATAGAAATGTGAAATCACCGACGAAAGTGTGTCCCATAAATAAGTGCATGCTTATCTCAATGAGCATAAAACAGGTTCACTTTTATCAAATTTAAGTTTTTGACATTTATATCAGGAACCATACCCCAAAAGTTTGTGTCGAAATGCACTGCTGGCTGGATATGCCAGAGAGAAATAAAGACTACACATTGCACAATAACACTTGTCACTTACCTTTGTCAGTTGTGCAATCTTTTTACACATTCTGTAAACATCAGCGCTGCAAATTGTTGGGTCCAGGGGCGTGACGTCATTTTCTTTGGCCATTCCAGTGTTGGCACGGAGAACATGTAAATCTTGCCCCGAACTTGCTTCAGCCATTTCTCTTGAAAATTATTACCCGATGGTAAAATATCTTGAATTAAACCAACTCATATTAAAGGTAAATATAATGGGTAATCATTGGAATTAGATGGAGCCATGGTCTGGAAACAAGACAAAACATATCGTTAATTACAAATGCATCTGAAACACAGTAAGATGTCAAACTGAACCCATAAGATGGGTGTAAAACGTTAAAGATTGTAACAGCCGAATGGGGCCATTAATGTCACGAACGCTGACTTGGTAAGAGGGACACTCCGATCGAAAAAGACATATCTCGCCGAGCCTCTATCGAAGTACTGGTCGGTGTACGACCACTGATCAGCCTTCAATCAATCTGTGCGTCATGCGAGTCCGTCGTGATGCCGAGATCGTCCTACGCCGATCGACCTTGTGGTCTTTTCATGTTCACATGGGCCCCCTCAACAACGAAAACACGAGCGCGTCCGCCTTACTAGAGACGAATGTTTTATCGATAACAAAATTAGAGGATGCAAACTGTGTCTTTCAAACATCCTCGCACTGGAGGGGCAAGTTGACCTTCCGGCATCTGGTTAGATGCTGGATGGATGAGGAATCAAGCACTGCACGCAATCCACACACGTCATTCCACGATCTAGTGGAATCGCGGAATTTGCTTTGAATCCCGCCAAATATGTATATCACGAGTAATCTTGGAACGGAAGACAATGAATATAATATTCATTGAATACACGATTTATTCATCACGAACAGCTAAAACCCCGACAACACGTAAGTTTACAAAGACCGACTAAACGACTGAGCTAGAGGACTTATTCGCCACACGAATACACAGAGAATGATGGAAATCATTAGCTAAACTCGTCAGAGACCAGCTGTCCAGCAATGGATACGCATTTGCCGCATTTTAAGTCGACCGCCACTCCCGGTCTGCGCAGGAAGTGGGACAACAGGACCAAATTCCTCATCACATTGCGGGTGCAAAAACAACAGGGACGAGGAGCATCACCTGGCTTGGTGGGTAAGATATATCTGCCCATTGCAGGGGCATTCCACGTCAAATCGAACAAAAATCGGCTGTTTTGCACCTTACCATCAGCGATTTCATTATAAATTTGTGAGCGAGTTCCTGTGTGGCCCCGGACATTACACTGATGTTTTTTGCACATTCTGACCACAGGTCTTCTAAATATAGGGCATCAAATTTTTACAAAATGTTGCATCTTTATATTTTTGAACGACCATAACTTTGGTTGTACTTGTTTGATTTGAATGAAATAAACCTTACTGTTAAGGTTATTTCTTAAGCATTTGTTTAGAATTGCACCTATTTAAATATATGACCTTGAAATTTGCTTAACTCTGTTCTTAAGCACAAATATTGAAATAGCAAAAAACACGTCACCTTCGATTTGGCTCATTTTCATATATTTTATTGCCTACCATATTCTCAACAACCTGTGAAAAAATTAGAGTGGGCCATTCATAAGTTTTGAAGAAAATTGCACATATGCAAACGTATGTTAGCACGCGCAGTGGAGGGGGAAGAGCGAATTTCGCCCACCCCTCCTGTTTTTCGCCAATATCTCATGAGATTAATGCGAAATTAATTATGGCTACCTATCAAGAATTGAATTGGACATCTCATCGTGCAAGCAATAAGAAAATCGGTTCACAACTGTTCTAGTAATAGCGGTGTAAAGTGAACATCCTGTCGCCGCAGCGACGCGGCGACTCGGCAGCCGGCGCCGACCGCTACGCGCCGCCTGAATTGTAGACTGTGCCGGGACGGAACGGAACGGTTCCGTCTTTACATCGCGCTCCCTACCGCTGATTGCGTTCGATTCCCGTCAAATTTTGTGAGAAGACTAAGAAATGTACAGGCAATCTTATGGTGAAAGAATTTTGAAAATCTGTTGGTAAACAATTGAAATATGAACGTGTAAACACAAAATTGTGATTGCTGCGTTTCCCGCATCGGCCGAGCCCGCCTCAGCCGGCGACATGTTACTCAAGTAGCAGGCCTCTAACTGCCATATTTATTATTGGATTAACTAGAAATTCCCCATACATACGAAAAAATGTATGTTCTTTCGTATAGTGAAGATCAAAAGACGTGAAGATATCGTTGCGTGATAATGTTTTCGTTGAATTTACTTCATGATGCATTTCCACACGGCTCAAAATTCACCGCAAAATACCGTTTGCCTGAGACACTTTTACCATGGAACGTGAATGCTTGACTACGATGACTATGCATTTCCATTCTCGCAGAGTTTGGGATATCACTAATCAGCAATCATTCATTTCAGAAAGTGTACACAAGCAAGCATGTCTTGACTCTGTCTTTCAAGGTCACGCGCGGTTGCGTGATGTTGATGCATGAAAACGGCGTTTGCCGCGAAAGTTATGAATGGCCCACTCCAATTTTTTCACAGATGGTTAGGAACATTGTGACGGACATAATATGTAAAAATTACCCAAATCGAAGGTGACGTGTTTTTTGCTATTTAAATTTTTCTGTTTTAATTCAAGGTCAAATGCATTTCAAGGTCACTTCAATTTAATTTTATAATTAAAAATCAAAGCCTTATCAATTGCCTATAAGACCCTGTTAATATCATTTTGATACCAGAAAAGGCACCAGAGTTATAGCCATTTAAAAAATTGATGTGTGACATTTTTCGCTATATTCGATGACCTATATCTCAGCGATACGTTATCAAATTTCGAAAATATTATACGTAACTCAGTTTTGAACCATGCCCAGTCTGCCTACAAATTTTCAGAAAAATCGAAGGGTATGACGGATTTCGGTGTTTGATTTGACGTGGAATGCCCCTGCAGGCAACTGGTTCACGACCAAAAACAGCATTTTGACCTTGTTTAACCCTCTCAGGTGGGCTAGCTGACAACTGGTTAATGAGAGGCATGCCGCATGCCCAACCTCTGCCCAAGAGGATCATCATACCACCATGTAAATACAGCATTGGTGTAGTGGTCATATTGCTGCAAATCGAGGTGGTGCCAGTGGGATGGGATGGGTGTATTGATGCCATCTCTAACTCAACTTTAACACCTGTGGCAGAGTGTGCTGACTTGCTGAGGGTGTGAAGCGTGTACTGGTACAGCCCCAGCAGTGCATGCTTACTCATGGCAGCTCTAGGACTTCTGCAGTCACTGCTACTAAGGGTGTACAGTGCATAACACTCCTGCTTTGAGATGTGTAATTTGAAAGATGTGGTGCAAGAAAATGGCACAGAGACTTAATTTTGTTGTAATTGATGCAGAACATAGGTTGTTGAAATGTTTTCTTTTCTAATCTCAGGGCATCAAAAAGGAAATTTTTGAGCTAACATGACATCTGATGACTTGATATATGACATGACCTAAAACTGACTGAATCAGGTACTCTCTTCAAAGTCTTCATTAACCCGCGCCCCGTAGGGCTATCGGCTTTAAGTAGGTACACCTTTTCTTTTTTGTCTAGCTATGACGCTTTAGAGCGTTATTAATGAAATGAAATTAGGCATGTTTTAACCTTATGCTCCTAACAGGTACCTACTAAATGTATCATTAACCCTCGCCGGCCGAGGGGGGAGGGCGGGTGCCATCCCCTAGATTTTTTTTCGCGATAGCTCCAAACACGCTGGCGATAGAGAGCTGAAACTTCGCAAGCCTGACCCTTGATTCAAGCCAGATCTTTTGACACCAACCGCATTTTCGCGTCAGGTCAGGTCACTGACCTATGACGTCATACGTGAACCTCTGCACGGTCTTCAGATGTCGCAACTTCACAACGCTCTCAGTGCCAAAGGAGCTTTAACAGGGAGATGAAACTTACAGGACGTAGTATCCTCCAGAGGTCTCACAACTTTTATATCTCGGATTTTTTTTTCTAAAGAACACATGAGATCAGTTCGGTCACGTGACCTCACCATTATAGGTAAATGGGGGAAAAAATGAAAACTGCTATTTTGGCGCCGGGAACGATCTCACACTATATCAACCACACGGAATCGTGATTTCATGCACTCCTTGCAATATTCAATTCTTCACTTTTGTATTGCTGACCTTGCGTGACGTCATTTATGACGTCACTAGGGTCATACCTTGGAGTTTTTCGTCAATAACTCCTGATCAAATTGAGCTATGTAGCGAGCCGGGAAAGCCACCAATGGACTCGGGAAGACCTGCCGAATCGACTGATGTGCAACATGACCTCCTCCGACCAACTTCGTGACCTGGGGGGCGCTGACCTGACCTTGACCCGAGGTGAACACTTCAAGTTGACCTCACCCGAACAAAAAAAAAGCCATTCGACGCGCCTGAGCGAGGCGAACACGATGATGCCAAAATCGCGGCTCTGCCACCGTTTTTTTTTTTGCCAAGCTATTTATGAAAACTGAACCTGTGCCCTTGGTTACTTGACCTAACCTCAGAGGTCACCAGTTGACCTGAGACCTTAATCGTTTTTTTCCACGACGCTCTAGCTCCATCAGGGGCGAAACGGCGAGGGGGTCGTACTTACCACCCCCCCCCCCTCGGCCGGCGCGTACGTAGAAAACCAATAGGTCCGGCGAGGGTTAATGTATCATTGAATGGGAGCATACAACATATGTAAATATATGTTACAGGCCGTATGAAAACTCCGTCCGTTTGCAAACGGTCTGGCCGAGTCAGGCCGTTTGAAAACGACCTGAAAACACCGGCCGTTTGGAAACGGCCTATAGGCAATTTGAAAACGGCTTAGTCAGTTTTCAAACGGCCTGGCGAAGTACAACAACCTTTGAAGGTAACTTGATTGATCCAGATTGGTAGATGCTCGGGTCTGCGGAAGGACTAGTCTACGTCGAACATTTTCTAGTCGTACATGTGCTCGTCTCGGCCCTGTTCCCGACAATAACTAAAAGGTTTTAACCCTCGCCCGTATTGGTGTTTTTTTTCCAGCCGCGAATGTATAAGGGGGGAGGGGGTCCGTTGGACCCCCCCTTGCCGTTTCGCCCCTGATCGAGCTAGAGCTTCGCGGAAAAAAACGAGCGTGTTGCCCGTCACGAGAGGAAGCCGATAAGACCCAATTGTAAGGTCCTAGGTCATCGGTTGACCTTCCAGGTCAGGTCAATGACCCAAAAGTCGGGAAAATCGGGACCTGTTAGAAAGTCGTAAAGCGTCGCTGCTATGGGGTTTTTCGGGGTGCTGATCACGAATAACATGTTAGTTTTGATCACAGATGATGTCTTCATGCATTTAGGCCAGGTCGGGTCAGGTCATGGGTCAGGTCAACCAGTAAGGGTATTCGTAGTAGGTGGCAATCGCCTCTGACAGCTTCGTAACATGTTACGAAGGCACCAAAACTACTTCGTAAATGTTCATATGGTTGCTAAATTTGAATTCAGCTCCAAAAAGTGGCCTAGAAAAATGTAAAACTCGAAAAAGTGAGCCGAGGTCATCAAAGGTCAATGACCTGACCTGACCTTCCGGTAACCTTGATACCCACCCTAATGCATGGGAGCAACATCATATCCGATGTTTGAACGCTTAAAACCACGAAAAGACGGCAAACACGCGGCAATGCGAGCCGACATACGCCAAATCGCGATTCCAGCCAAACATGGTCTCGAAAAGTAGGTCACAGGTCAAAGGTCATTAAGGTCAGGGTCATGAAAATTTCAGGGTAGGTGTAAAATGATAAACGCGAGGGTTCTGAAAGCTTCGTCGCGATCGGTCGCTTTTTACGCGAGCTATTCGCGAAAAACCGAAGGGGAGGGGTCCGTTCGACCCCCCCCCCCCCCCTATACGGGCAAAGGTTAAGATTCATCCAGCTTATGGAACCTGGTGAAATCATGCCACAGGCAGTCCATGGGGCGACAGATTGCTAACAGTCGTGTTTCAACAAACTATTGCTCTCAACATTGTCCAGCTGTCTTCACACTGACCAGACAGTTCTCAAACTGCCTAGCTAGGCCGTTTGCAAACCGCCTGATGCCTAATAGCTGCCATACGGCCTATATAGGCGATTTCCAAACGGCCTGAAATTTCATGCAGTTTGCAAACGGCCTGGAACTTCAGACCGTTTTCAAACGGCCTGACTTTTCAGTCCGTTTGCAAACTGACTGGGCCACCCAGGCCGTTTGCAAACGATAGAGATAGAGATGTGCTAGAGTGGTGAAAACACCTCAAATGTGTTCAGCTCGACGATACGGATCGACTAACATACAGCATGACCGGTGACCCTGTCCGGTCAAATTATGACCTTGATTAATGAGAACCTGAATGAGGGAATCTTTTTAGGCAAGCTTGGAATCCAATAAAAACACTGAAAATGAAATCATGCTACAAATTTCATTGCTTACCTCAGCAATGAAATCAGTAAGGAAAGAACAGCAATACTTTTAATGATTTCTTCAGGCTGACAATGCCTCAGCCATATTGGCACGCTACTGGCTGAAAATAAGTTGCTTAAAAAGACCCACTGAATCAGAATCGCCACGATTTTAAGTGCATGTCATAAGATCTCTATGATTCCAGCCAGCACGAACAGACCTATACGAGTGACCTTATAGCTGACATGAGTAGCTGGTAGGGGAAAATTGCTTAACATTTTTGTATATTTTATCCATATTGATAACAACTATCACAACCCACACTCATGCTAAAAAATTAACCTTATACCTCTTGACCTCTTGGAAGGGGCTTGGGCAAGGCGCTTGGGAGCTTGCTATTTTTGACGCGCCACAGTTGTCGACAAGCATTACTTCATGCACTTCCTCCAGAAATACGTTCAAAACGTGCTCAGCTGATGAGTTTTGCCTATTTTGGGGGAATTAAAAATTCATCAAGAAAAGAGCTTATATTCGTTATTTCTTATGAAAAAATATATGTAACGAACTCTTTTAAAAATAAAAATAGTGTAAAACTTCAGTAAAATGCTGAAAACCGTCAATTTTAATTTTCATGTTCATGAGCATTTTCAAAATGAACATTTTTTTATAATGATTATGAAAATCAAACTGATAATTGAAGCATATTACAAAGAATAAATGAAATATCTTATTTGAATTTAAAAGCAAGGCAAATACAGAAGCATGTATTTATCATTTATCGGCTTGCAAAACAAAAGACAGCTGTAAGGTTTCAACAAAGGAGGGAATTGAATGAACACAAGGTGCACTACATGTCCTCGTCACTGTGTGAGGACGGGAGTTCCGAAGGAGAGTTGTTTATTTACAAATTGAGTTTTTCGTGTCTTGTCTGGCATCTGGTGATTGCTGTTGGTTGCCTTATCGCATTCAGATACGTATATTATAAAAATCTGCTTTAATTCGTTTTTTCACTTAAAACTACCCATGCCACAATCGTTACAAGGTGAGTCTGAGTCAGGGCAGGACGCCTGCAGTGAGAAAGAATATTATATTTATCAGTTGTCATTTGAGTTTTTTCAGTTGGATATCATGTGCACACATTCATCTATAAAGATATTATACAAACATGCATGAATATTGATATCAACTGTCTTGCGTAAAATGAAGCAAAAATGACAGTGACATTTAGTCCTGCTTCTCGATTTGTCGCTCCATACCTTCCGCCTCGGAATCCCTGGCCTAGGTAATAGCATCATAACATCATGGAAATGTTAGCGAAATCACCGCTTTATTCACCAATTTTCCCTTAACAACTGAAGCTCTTGTGCCTGGAACGAATCAGAATGATCAGTGGTGGGATTTTAGCATAGCATGGTATGGTGTGCTGTGTACAGTGGCGTATCCAAGGGGGGATCCTGGGGGTCCTAGGATCCCCCTGGAGCAAATTTTTTTTTTTTACTCGAAAAAAATTGAAAACACTTTATGGGCCCTTTTCACCACATACATTTTTTTTACATAATGAAAAGTATCAATTACATTTTTAGGGACCCTTTTAGGACTATCAGAGGACCCCTTTAGGCCAACGAGGGACCTTGTAGAGTAAATTAAGGGCCCTTTACAACGAGCAGGACCTTCTCAGGCACACAGAGGGCCCTCTCAGACACACAGAGGGCCCTCTCAGGCACTCAGAGGGCCCTCTCAGGCACTCAGAGGGCCCTCTCAGGCACTCAGAGGGCCCTCTCAGGTACTCAGAGGGCCCTCTCAGGCACTCAGAGGGCCCTCTCAGGCTCTCGTAGGGCCCTCTCAAGCACTCAGAGGGCCCTCTCAGGCCCGAGGGCCCTCTCAGACATTTCAAAGAGGTCGAAAAGAGCCCTCTGAGCTCAAAGAGGGCCCTCTGAGATAAAAGGGCCCTCGGAGGCAACAGAGGGCCCTACAATGCAACAATAGAGCCCCTGTGGTCACCAAAGGGCCATCTGAGGCGAATAGGGGGTCCTTTTAGGCAAACAGAGGGCTCTTTGAGGCAAACAGAGGGCCCTCTGAAGGGGCGAATGAAGGGACCCTCTGAGACGAATGGGGGCCAGAGCCCAGAGGGCCCTCTCAGGCACTCAGAGGGCCCTCTCAGGCACTCAGAGGGCCCTCTCAGGCACTCAGAGGGCCCTCTCAGGTACACAGAGAGCCCTATCAAGCACACAGAGGGCCCTCTCAGGCTCACAGATGGCCCTCTCAGGCACACATAGGCCCCCTCAGGCACACAGAGGGCCCTCTCAGGTACACATATGGTCCTCTGAGACACACAGAGGGCCCTCTCAGGTACACAGAGGGCCCTCTCAGGCTCACAGAGGGCCCTCTCAGGCACACATAGGGCCCCCTCAGGCACACAGAGGGCCCTCTCAGGCAAACAGAAGCCCCTCTCAGGCAAACAGAGGGCCCTCTCAGGTACACAGAGGGCCCTTTCAGGCACACAGAGGGCCCTCTAAAACACACAGAGGGCCCTCTCAGGTACACAGAGGACCCTTTCAGGCACATAGAGGGCCCTCTCAAACACACAGAGGGCCCTCTCAGGCACACAGGAGGCCCTCTCAGGCACACAAAGGCCCTCTGAGACACACAAAGGGCCCTCTCAGACACACAGAGGGCCCTCTCAGGTACACATATGGTCCTCTGAGACACACAGAGGGCCCTCTCAGCCACACAGAGGACCCTCTCAGGTACACATAGGGCCCCCTCAGGCAAGGGCGCACACAAGGGGGGGCACACGGGCCCGTGCCCCCCCCATTCGAGTTGGGGGGCCCAGCCGAAGGAATAGGGGCCCATTTGAGGCGGCCGAAGGCCGCCTCAAATGGGCCTCTAACTAATCCTTAGACCACCGAAGCCTGTGTACAAAGGGCCCTCAAATGGCCTTAAAGAGCCCTCAGATGGTCTCAAAAGGCCCTCAGATGGTCTCGAAGGGCCCTCAGATGACCTCAAAGGGCCCTCACTTAGCGTCATAGGGCCCTCATCTGGTGTCAAAGGGCCCTTAGATCAATGGTGTTAAAGGGCCCTTAAATGGTGTCAAAGGGCCCTCAGATGGCCTCGAAGGGCCCCAGATGGCCTTAAGGGGCCCTCAGATGACCTCAAAGGGCTCTCAGATGGCCTTAAAGGGCCCTCAGATGGCCTTAAAGGGCCCTCAGATGGCCTCAAAGGGCCCTCAGCTAACATCAAACGGACGCCAGAAGGCCTTAAAGGGTGTTTTAGAGTCAGATTTTTCCCGGGTTTATGTTTGTAGATATAAAACTTTATAACTTTATCGGAATTCACTGGGATTGTATTGCGTATGCAAGTCCATGGACTTGCATACGCAATACAATCCCAGTGAATTCCGATAAAGTTTTATATCTACAGCCTTAAAGGGTGTCAAAGGTCCCGCTGGCGTCAGAGGGCCATGCCCTTGCGTCAAACGGCTCTCCGAAGGCCCTAAAGGGTCCTTAGCTGGTGTCAGAGGGCCCCCAGCTGGTGCCAGATGGCCCTCAGCTGGCGCCAAATGGCCATCAGAAGGCCTCAAACGGTCCTCAGCTGAAGTCCAGCGGTCCTCAGTTGGCGTCAAGCGGCCCTCAAAAAGCCTCAAGGGGCCTTAAGAAAGCCTCAAGGGGCCCTTAGAAGACCTGAAGGGGCCCTCAGAAGGCCTTAAAGAGTGTCAAAGGGTCTTGAGCTAGCGTCAGATGGCCCCCCAGCTGATGTCAGAGGGCCCTGAGCTAGCGTCAAACTTAAAGGGCCCTTAGCTGGTGTCAGAGGGCCCCAGTTGGTGTCAGAGGGTCATCCATTGGCGTCTAACGGCCATCAGAAGGCCCAAAAACGGTCCTCAGCTGGCGTCCAACGGTCCTCAGCTGACGTCAAGAGGCCCTCAAAAGGCCTCAAAGGCCCCTCGACTGCTCAAAGGGCCCTTAGAAGGCTTCAATGGGAACTCAAGAGACGTTAAACGGCCCTCAAAAGGCTTGAAAAGGCCCTCTGCTGATGGCAAAGGGCTCGCACCTGAGTCAATAAGAGCCTTGTCAAAAACGGACCTGAGAAACCTTGCCGCCCCTGGTTATCTGCGGGACTCCTACAGTTACCTGAGTGGCCCCCCTTTACTGAGGGGCCCTGGTTATTGATGGGGTCCCTGGTTACTTGAGGCCATCTGAGGGCCCTTTAAGGCCACCTGAGAGCCCTTTGAGGTCATCTGAGGGCCCCTTAAGGCCTGGTTACCAGAGGGGCCTATGGTCACCTGGAGGACCCCTGATCAATTGAAAACCCCTGGTCATCTGAAACGCCCCTGATTACCTAAAGGGTCCCTGATCACTTGGATTCAGTGACATAGCAAGGGAGCGAGGGGGTACGTGCCCGTTCTCGGGTTTAGGGTTCCTTCGAAACCGAGGGGCCCTGCGGCGCCAGTTGGTAGCAGAGGGTTCGCGCTGGCCGCACTTCAACTCTGAAGGACACCACAGGGCTTGTGGGGGCACGTTATTGGCTCCTATGTAGCCACAATTATCTTCATAAAGGCCCAATGCCGGTTTCTGAGAGACCTCGCCGGCCGCTCAGGGCCCTAGTAACGGCCAACGAGGGATTGGCTGCTATGGCTCCACATCCGTCTGTGATAGACACACGGCCCACACCAGTGTTTCTAAAGGCACCCACAACGGCAACTGCGAGGCCCCTCGCGCCACCTCCAAGGGACCCCCACCAGCGCATCTTAAGGGCCTACATCGGCGGCTCTGAGAGTCCCCACACCGGCGCCTCTGAGGGCCACGTACCAGTGACTCTGAGGGCCTCTTACCAGCCTCTGGGTGTCCTTGCCAGCCTATGAAGGGCCACTTTCCACTTGCAGGCCATTTTGCAGGGCCACACACATGCCAATGATGGCCCCACCAGTGTCTCTAAGCCCTAAGACCCCGCAACGGCGCCTGTGAGGACCCAACACCAGCGCATCTGACGGCCTTTCACTGGCACCTCTGAGCGCGCCACACACCGGTGACTCTGAGGAGCTCGCTCGCTTCGCTCGCTCGTAAAATACCATGTACATTAGGCATTAGTGTGCATAAGGCACACTCCTCGGGCATAAATGATACTTTTACTTGCCAATTTTCCGCATTTTCTCATGCAAAGACCGTTTTAAAGAGACCCGTCTGCCAGTGAGACTGGACCCACCGTGCCTCCCTCCTCCCATCGAAAGGTCCTGGACTCCTGGATACATCCTTGCCTGAGCTGACCCCGGGCCCCGGGTGACTCGCGGGCCCGGGGTCAGGTGACCAGCAGGTGACCCCCTCTTGGGCGAAATTCTGGGTACGTGTCCGACATGCATCGTACATAGTCCTGTTGATTTGATTCATCGGTTAAACATTAAATATAAGTTACGAGCTGGATCTCTAGTCTGTGATCCCGCATCGTATCAGATATAATGACATTTCATGTCATGTGCCTAAAAAAATCTGCGAATATACGTGAAAAAGGAGTGCTGCTCCCGCTCCTACACATCCGGGCCAAACAGTGACCGGCCCCTGCTTCTAGCCACCCGGGGCCGGTCGGCCGGCCGGCAGTCAGTCGCTGCCCGGGGCTGATTTCTGAGGGACTTGCAAAAATGTTTATTAATGAAATGTTTTACGTAATAAATTAAATGATTAGGTATATGTACCGGCTCTGAGTGGCATTTGAGAAAAAACATGCTAGCGTAAAAATATAAATGTTTTGAAAATTAAGCTGGTACCGAAATAATTGTTTTACCATGGATTGACAAAAGGTCAAGCTTCAAACCAACCGAAATTTAACTCCGTGGGCCGTTTTTTTTTTGGGGGGGGGGCCCTTCGGCATGGGGGGCCCAGTTCGAAGGTCGTGCCCCCCATTCAAAAATCCTGTGTGCGCGCCTGCCCTCAGGCACACAGAGGGCCCTCTCAGGCAAACTACACAGAGGGCCCTTTCAGGCACACAGAGGGCCCTCTCAAACACACAGAGGGCCCTCTCAGGTACTCAGGGGGCCCTCCCAGGCACACAAAG